ATTAAAAGATTGGGGGGGGGGAAGGCATTGAACTTGCCTCCTGGAAAGATTTAAGAATTTTGGGAGATTTAAAAAATGAAGTGTTCAAAGGTAAAAGGGAAAAAAAAAGGGGCTTAAAAAAAATGCGTTGAAAAATGCTTAAACCCTGACAGAATCAAAGCAAAAGGATTAAAATGGAGAAAAATTTTGGGTTTTGAAAGGGTTTAAAAGGGGGAAACAAATGGGTTTTACCAAGAGAAAAGGTTTTTAGATTTAGTGGGAAAAAACGCCCGGGGATGTACTGAAGCAAGAACTTTTTAATATCTTTTTTCAGGGTTTATTTTGGGTTTTTAAACCCCGAAAGGGGTTTTTACCCCGGGTAACCCCCAAAAAGAAAGTCTTTTTGTCATTGGGGGCTGTTTATCAATTTTCCCCTTAAAGGGTCCCGAATCTCATCCCCCAGGGGAAAGCCCCCCCACCCAAATTTACTAACACCCAGGGGACCTACTTACTGCTAGGTGAACAGGGGCATAGATATTTGGGAAAAATTTGGGCCCTCTTTTTTCCCCGGTTTCCCGAGATCAAACCCGGATACTCAGTGTGAGGGGGAGTGCTTGCCCAACCCAAACCACGGGCCCGGGTTTCATGAAATGGATGTGAATGTCAAAATTAGACCCGCCTAGCCTTGGGCCCGTAGGCCTCTTCAGCGTTCCTTCCACCTAAAGTTTTTTGGAGTAAAAAAAACCCCTAAAATTTTTTTTAAACCGGGCCCCCCAACAGAAAAATAAACAGAATAGAGCCCGGACTGAAAAAACCCTTTTACAGTAAAAAAAAAAAAAAAAAACACCACCCTGCCCTCACCATCCTTCCCCCTTTTAGCCCGGGGACCCCGTTCTTTGGCGGAGACCATGAAGGGAAAACCCGGGGGGAGGCGTAAAAAAATTCTTTTTCAGGGTGGTGCATAAAATAAGGGTTTGGTACGCGGCCGTCGTTTAGCACCCCATGTAAAAAACACCTCCAAAAGACACCCCCCCACCCCCAAAAACCCCCCAGTTTTTTTGTTTTTTTTCTCTTTCCGTTTTTAAACTGCACGTAACTGAAGAAAAGAACTCTCACAAAACTGCAAAGTATCCTAAATAAGAACCCCTCAGCACAAGAAAGTATCCTAAATTTGAAAAACCCTCCACACTGCATGAAAATTTAAAAAGAAGAACCTTCACACACTGCATGTATTAAATAGAAAAAACCTCTCAGCACACTGCCTGTATCCTGAATAGAAAACCCTTAGCCCCTGATGTATCCTGAATGAAAGGGGGAAACCCCCGCACAATGCATGTATCCTAAATAGAAGAACTCTCAGCACACTGATGTATCCTAAATTTGAAAAACCCCTCAGCACACGGCCCCCTTTCCCCCAAAATAGAAACTCTCAAAACCCCTGCTGTATCCCAAATAGAAAAACCCCTAGCACACGCATGTTTCCCAACAAAAAAAACCTCTCACACACTGCATGTACCTAAAAAGAAGGAAACCCCTTTAGCACACTGCATGTATCCTAAAAAGAAGAACCCTCAGCCCCCTGCCTGTATCCAAAAAGAAGAACCTCTAAACACACTGCATGTATCCTAAACAGAAGAAAACCCCTTTAGCACACTGATGTATCCTAAATAGAAGAAAACCCCCAGCACACTGGGATGATCCTGAATAGAAGAACCCCCTTACACACTGCCCCTGTATCCGAAAAGAAAAGGGCCCTTCAGCAATGCAAAGTATCCCAAAAAGAAAAACCTTTTTGCAAAAACTTCATTATCCTGAAAGGAACAATCTCTAGCGCATTTTTGGGTTTATCCTGAAAAGAAGAAAAACTCAGCAACCTGCCCCTGTATCCTAAATAGAAGAAAATCCAGCACACTGCATGTATCCTAAATAGAAGAAATCTCAGCACCTGCATGTATCCCAAAAAAAGAAGAACCCCCTCCCGCACACTGAAAGTATCCTGAAAAAGAAGAACCTTTTAGCACATTGCATGTATCCGAATAGAAAAAACCCTCACACACTGCATGTATCCTAAATAGAAGAACCTTCAGCAATGCATGTATCCTAAATAGAAAACCATTAGCAACTACAGTTTTCCCGAAGGAACCAAATTTTCAGCGCAAGGGTGTAAACCTGAACAGAACCCTTAAAGTAAACCTGAAGGGAAAAATAAAACTTCCGGGCCCCTGCCTGTATTGTTAATTCTTAGGGAAGCACCTGAACAATGCGAGGGGAATTTTGGGTTTTAATAACTCGGATCAAAAAAATACGTGCCCTCCCCCCTTTCCCCGGAAACATCCGAGGGGGGAAAGGGAAATTAATTCCCCCAGTTTTAAAAGCCCTTCACCCGTTTGTTTATTTGGTACAGGTAACATAATCATCACGTATAGCAAAAATATGTGTAAAAAACCAGGATAACCATCATTTTTACCGTTTTCCCTTGGGGTTTTCCCAAATAATTTACACATAAAGAAAAATTTTTTTGTTAAACCCTGTTTACTATGGGGAAAAAAAAACACTGAAAAAAAAAGTGAAAATTTTCCCAAAAACCGCGATTTTTCACATTACAAAGGAAAGAAAAAGTTTGGAAAATTTACATTCTTTTTAAGTGAGTTTATTGTAATTGCCTCTCCATAAATTTATTATTTAGCCGTTTTAACTTTCCAAAGGTTTTAAAAAAGATATTAAAGTGGAAAAAAAGTCATTTGACTTATTTGAGCTATCTTTGGGAATTTTTCACCCTGTGGTGCTATTATGATAAATTTAAAAAAACTATTTTTTATTGTGTTTCCGCCTGAATAAACTTACCGTACAAATAATACAATTATATACATAGGGGAAAATTTGGGTAGGGGTACCCCCCCCCCCAAAAAAAAAAACGTAAAAATGACTTATTTCCATTTTTTTTATTGTGATATCAATATTTACCGTATTCCCTTTTTGCATTATGTTTTCTATGTATGATTAAATTTTTCTCATGTGTACCTGTACCTAAATAAATTTACTTAGTGGGTATAAACTCCACAAATGAGGCCCCCTCATGGGCTGGTGAGGGCGGGGGTTTTTGTTGGCAGTGAAATGCCCCTAACCCCGGGAAGGGGAGTGGGGCCCTACACCACTATCACCATTTCATCACCCCTTCCCCCAGGCCAAAACTCCCACCCCGTTGTTAACTTTTATTTTTTGGGGTAACAAAAATTTAAAATTTTAATTCAATTTTTATTTAATAAAAAATAATCATATCTTTATTTTTTTTCGTACATGAAAGGTATACAGGCTTAGCTGACAAAAATTTTCACATACTACAAATAGAAAGGCCCCCTTTTCCCTGCAGAGGATTTCGGCAAATTCGTCAGTTTTTTTCCCCGGATTTCGACCCGCCCAGTCGACTAAACCCAGGTACCCCTCATCCCCAACCCGTGTAAAGAAACAAAGAACCAATGTTTCTTTCCCCCGCTGGGAATCGAACGGCACTCACTGTATGGGGGAAACGAGAGCTTTAGCCCCCAGGGCCCCGGGGCACCGTTTCATAATGTACAATGTTGATTTACGTTTTTTTTAAAATATTTTATTTTTCAAAGAAAACCACAAATGCTTGGGCATTTGGGTATATAAACAAAAGCTTTTACAATACTTAAAAAATAGAAATAGCATATTGGCTTGGGGGGGGAAAAGATTCAATTTTTAGTGGTTTCCCGGATTAAAGATATTAAAATAATTTATATTTTTTTCCCCTGTTTTAAATGGTCCATATGTTTAAAAATAATTAAAAATTAAAAAAATAATAATTTTTTTTTAACGGGTACAATATTTCAAGGAGCTCAATGGAAATAAGTCGCCTTTTTTTTTTTTTTGAGGGTTACCCCAGGTACTACACAATCTGCTAGTAAAGATTTAAATTTTTTTAACTGTATTTATGTGTACCTGAAAAAACTTTTTTGTACAGAGATGGGGGTATTTAGTTGTGGATTAGGGGAAAACCCCTAGTTTCCCCAAAGCAAAAATAATAAAATCCTTTATTGACAGCCCTTTCACCCCCACAGTGGGCCTTCAAACCACAAGAAAAAGATAAATTTTTCTTGGATTTTTAACCCGGAAAGGTTTGCCCCCCCCAGGAAAAACCCAAGAAAGTTAAATGCGGGCATCGAGGAACCGTCTAACTTATTTCCATTTTTGGGCCCGATCTTTTCCCCCCCGGATGCGACCCCCCCCCAGTTGACAAAAAACCCGATACCCCTTTGCTGCTAGTTGAACAGGACAACACGTATAAGGAAACGCGTCAAAATGCTTCTACCCCTCCGGGAATCGAACCCGGGCCCTCCGTGTGTGAAGGAGAGCTATGCCAGCCAGGCCACGGGGGTCACAAGTAGATCAGATATGTTTGTTACTTGATAAAGCCCACTGTGTGGGCGAAAAGTTGCCATAAAGGTTGGCATTATTTTGAATCTGTCTATCTATCCTGTCGGGATTTTATATCCGCCTCTATAATCTTGTTCTAGATTATGGAACAAAACTTCTCCAGGCTGAGGGACTGACCACCTTAGAACTACGTCTTTAAGGGTGATGGACTGATTACATCGTCTTCACACCTCTACATCTTCTGTAAATTCCTCTGTACCCGACTGAAGAAGCCTACTGTGTAGGCGAAACGTCGTACTATCAACATGTCGGGATTTTGTACGATTTTCATATTCAGTTATAAAATCTGTTGTTGTTGACTCAGGCAGAAGATAATGCCTGTGTATCTGACTTCGTTAAGGTTTAAACAAGGTTGGGGGAGGATTAAACTAACCTAATTAGGAATATAGTGCTCCTATTTCGATTTTATTTATGAGGCAACTTTGTTTCCTTTTCATTTTCATCTCAAATTTTTGCATATATATATATATACATGTATACGTATTTTTTTTCCAGCACTCACGGTAACTGGGCGCAATAATGCCGAGGTTTTGGTGGCCCTCAAAACTCTTAATAATAATACAGCACAATTCCCCTGTTATCATTTTAATTTTTTTTTTCATTCACTGGCTCTTGGTATTATCATTGAGGCTCCACAGTATTAGTTATTTTCCTTCCACGCTGCAACTTTGGAAAAATAAAGACATTATACTACCCGAAATGTGATGAGTTTATATTTACGCTGCTGTGACTTGTGGGTTTAGCTCTTAGTTTAGAATGTAATAATAATAATTTTTAATGGTCATGAATGTATGCATGGTTTTGTTCACATAGACTGCATTATGTGATTGAGCCTTATCAGTAATTCCTTTTTGCTTAATAATAATAATAATAATAATACATTTGTAATATCTTTATTTACTACAAGTACATGTACAAGGTATACAGTTCTAGCTGACATCATTGACATAATTACTATTATATAGAAAGCCGTTTGTTTATGCAGAGCATTTCGGGCAAATTAGGTCAGTTTTGTCCCAGGATGCGACCCACACCAGTCGACTAACACCCAGGTACCCATCTTACTGATGGGAAACATAGACAACCGGTGAAAGGAAACACAACCAATGTTTCTAACTTCGCTGGGAATAGACCCCAGACCATCGCCGTGTGAAGCAAGAGCTCTAGCCACCAGGCCACGGGGCACCGTGGTCAGGGTCAAGCTATGGGTTACACTTTACCATTTGTTTGCTAATGTTACACTACAGCTGCTTAGAAACATCATCTTATATGCTGGAAAATACGGTACATCTCTTATCATGGTCAAAAGCTAACCTAACCTTTCATTAATGCATTGTTTGTGACTATTTATTATTATTATTATTATTAATTATTATTATTATTATTATTATTATTATTTTAGTAGACTTAAAATTTCACTGTTATTTTATTCTGGTCTATTATTAATGTGCTTTAAAAAAAGGGATCAGTAGACAGGTAGTACAGAGAAATTAAAATAATTTTTGAATTAAATTTCAGCTGACCATATTTTTTAATAAGCTGAAGCATATTAGTGATGTATTATAGGTTCTATTTGAAGGATAAGCAAGACATACATTGGAAATAAAAGAAATTAATATATGATTCTTTCTTACAGTAACTTCAGATGCCCTAACAATGGAGAGTCAGGTGGTTCCCCTGAAACTGGGGTTTCGATCTCAGCCACCGGCCCTGACACTAGTGTATCAGGGTGCTGCGGGGAAAAGAACGACAGCGTGTTATAGCCCATTAGATTTCTGAACAAGTTTGGTTCAGTGGATACCGTCTTGAGAGAGCTGAAGGAAAGACACAAGGATCACTTACAAAAAGTTGGGTCTTCTGTGTATGGCATAGTATTTTGTTGCAGTATTAGTTTTAATATTAGCAAAAAAATTACATTGCCATGAAAAAGTTCTAGACATGTGTTCTTGAATTGTACCTTCACTTTGAGTCTTGTTCTTTCCAAGTACATAGCATTTTTCTTGAATTAATACATATGGTGTGTACTAAATAAATATTGGTTGAATAATATTTTAAAATAGGTTTATTGCAACAAGTTAATTTTTCATGTCTCTATAATATTGCTCATTTCTAAAAATCTCTTATTAAAATAAAAATATGAAATATAATATGTAAAGCAACTTGCAAAATTAGCACAATTTAGTTCATTAAATCTTTTCAAAGAACAAAGTGCTTCACACACACATTCCTGACAAGCATATAAACTAACCCACATTTTGGAGAAGAAACTTTATGTGATATTTTGGCACAAAATGGACCATTATGAGGATGGATTAAAAACTTAAATTTCCTCATAATTTTTTGGGAGGGTGGATAGATGTGCATTTTTCCAGTCATAGTACATATTGTAACTTATTCTTCAATAGGCAAAGTGGAAACCACTAGTCAAACCTCTCATACGGTCCTTAGCAAAACCCTGGGTATGCCTTTGCATTGCATTCCGTAGATGCTTATAGACTTGTTTCTGCTGCAGTTACTTGCAGACAAAAGCTTACTTATACAATGCCATGTAAGCTTTTAAAAATCCTTTATAGGACAATACCTGTTCAGTGGAGCCTCAAAAATTGAACGTATCACATATTGAACGTTTTGAAAATAGGACCATTTTTTCGGACAAACTATGTCCCTATTATCGAACGCGCCCCTATTTTCGGACTGCCGGGTATGGGACCTGTCTGCCGCCCGCTCTGTCCGTGTCCCCGCGCAGGCGCCGTGAGCAGTCTAGCTTTGTTTATGCCTGAGTGAACGCTAACCTGCGCTCTCATTCGCGCATTTTACGATTATTTCGTTGTGTTTAGTGCTTGTGGGACTGTGAAATAAGCTGCCATGGGCCCAAAGAAACTTGCTAGTGGTACCCCTGTGGTAAAGAAAGTGAGAAACACCATAGATGTGAAGAAGGAAATAATACAGAAGTACAGTGGTCCCTCGTTTTTCGTAATTAATTCGTTCCTGGAGCCGTTACTATAAACGAAATTTACGATTTACAAATCAATTTTCCCCATAAGAAATAATGTAAATACAATTAATCCGTTCCTGACACCCAGAAGTATTAAAACAAAAAAATTTTTAACATGAAATATACATGTAGTACATAAAAATACAAGGGGAAATGATGAATAAAAACATTAACAGCATAACACTTACCTTTATTGGAGATTCTTCTTAGTGTATGGGAGACTGGAGGAGGAGAGAGAGTGGATTTTTATAGTTTGGAAGGAATTTCCCCTTTCCATCAACACCTCGGGTACCATTTGCTTTTCTGGGTTGCTTCTCTTCTCTGTTTCTTAATGCCACTAGGACAAAACCTTGAAGGGGTCACTGGAGTCCTGTCTCACAAATAACTGTGGAGAGAGCTCTGTTTCGGGCGTCTCTTTAAAAACTTCCCAAAAATGGCCCAAGACTTGTCACTATACATGTTGCCAACCTGGCTTGCAAAAACCTTGTTAGTGTGATGTTTCTCCATAAAGCTTTCCATCTTCCCAAATAAAAATCTCTTAATTTCTGAAGAAGGCACCTTCTTCCATCTCTCTTCCTCCTCCTCTGCAGCAAGCTTCTGAGCTGCGATTTTGTTGCTCTTCCTGCTGAAGCTCTTGCAGCTCCTCATGGTGAGCTCTTCATTGTGGTCTTCCACCAATTCTTCCTCATCCTCCAAACTCACATCCAACCCCCTGGAACTTCCCATGCCACAATTGATTTTACAACAGACATAGGCTCATTAGGGGCATCCCAAATCCCTCTTGTCGACACAATCTGGCCACAATTTTCTCCAGGGAAAGTTCAAAGTCCTGGTAGTCCCCTCCCTCCAAGCCATACCTATAAGGGTTTTTGCAGTTGGGGGGATGCTGAAGTGTTCCCCTCCAAAATTCCCTTAGGGTCAAGGGGAGTGTCTGTGGTCACAGTCAAGCAAACCCGTGAACATTGCTTTTGTGTAGAGTTTTTTAAAGTTTGCAATAAACCCGCTGGTCCATGGGGTTTGGGGGAGAGGAGTGGTATTCGGGGGCAAGAACTTTACTTTGATGAACCCAAACTCCTCGAAAATTAGGTCATCCAAAATTTGGAGGATGAGCATGGTGCCATTGTCCATTACAGCAGGCACTTGAGATCCAATTTTTTTTTCCAGGAGATACTCCTTCACACTAGGGCCAAACACTTCATTGAACCACTCGACGAAAATTTCCCTCGTGAAACCCCTGCCTTACTATTAGATTTCCAAAACACACACAATTACTCTTCATAAAATGTTTTTCCCCGAACACTCTGGGATTTTCAGAAGGGTACACTAGTAATGGCTTCACTTTGAAATCCCCACTAGCATTAGCACAGAACATTAGCATCAGCCTGTCTTTCATAGGCTTGTGTCCTGGCATTGCCTCTTCCTCTTGTGTAATGAAGGTCCTTTGGCATTTTCTTCCAAAAGAGGCCTGTTTTGTCCCAATTGAACACTTGTTCAGGTTTTCAGTCCTTCAGCCTTATGTACTCCTGGAATTCTTGCACATATTTTTCACCCGCCTTGTGGTTGAATGGCAGCCTCACCCTGCCTTTCCACCGTGTATGCCAGTACGTTCTTTAAAAACTCTCAAAACCCGCCTTTGCTGGCCCCTTTAAAATTCACTCACTTCACCACACTTTCAGGCAATTTCTTTACCAAATCTTCATGCAACTGCCTAGCCTTTTCACAAATAATCGAAGTCATAAGAGTATCTGCTAATTGTTTCTCATTTATCCCACCAAAAATAAATTTCAACCCCCTTCCAGTCTGGTGCCCCCTTTTTTTTCAGCTATTTACTCCCTTTGCAACAACAGCACCTTTATTTTTCCTTTTTCTTGGGCCCCTATGGAACATAAGGTTGGTAGGGGTTCTTATACGAAAATCACTACTACGAAAGCAAAAAAACTGGCAAGATGCCCATCCCCCCCCTGAAAAGCAGGGGTGTCACTAGCACGTTAAAAACCAAACATAAATGTCAGGGGCCCAGACTGTTCAAATGCCCCCAGCACACATAAGGGGGATACCAACAGACCCCAGGAGTTTCAACTGGCATGGCAACACCAAGTCAGTTCCTATCAGCGGGGCTGTGGCTCATATGTTGGTTTGCTGCAGCCGCAGCAACAGCCTGGTTTATCAGGGTCTGATCCCCAGGGGCCTGGTCACAGACCGGCCGCGGGGGCATTTACCCCCGGAACTCTCCCCGGGTAAACTCCGGGTACTCAAAAAACCCATAAATTTACACCCCCCCGGGAAACAGGGTTTAGAACGTCCTCCTGTCTGTCTAACTTTTGGGATCACTACGAAAAGGGTCCTAGATGACTAAAGAAAAAAAGAATGCAGAGAATATAATACAGATTTCCCAAAAGCCTTCGAAATGTGACCAGGGGCGAAAAATAGCGCACAAAATGCGTGCTAAGGAAAACAGGAAAATTGGCGAGGGATCTATAATTTTCCTCACTAACGAAACGAGAGTAGTAGTCAACAGAGTAAAGTCCGAGGAGCTCGGGAAAAGTTTTTTCTCAAGCACAGTACTCGCCCCCATTTTGTTCCTCATCCCCATATCTGACATAGACAAGGATGTCAGCCACAGCACCGTGTCTTCCTTTGCAGATGACACCCGAAGCTGCATGACAGTGTCTTCCATTGCAGACACTGCAAGGCTCCAGGCGTACATCAACCAAATCTTTCAGTGGGCTGCAGAAAACAATATGAAGTTCAACGATGAGAAATTCCAATTACTCAGATATGGTAAACACGAGGAAATTAAATCTTCATCAGAGTACAAAACAAATTCTGGCCACAAAATAGAGCGAAACACCAACGTCAAAGACCTGGGAGTGATCATGTCGGAGGATCTCACCTTCAAGGACCATAACATTGTATCAATCGCATCTGCTAGAAAAATGACAGGATGGATAATGAGAACCTTCAAAACTAGGGATGCCAAGCCCATGATGACACTCTTCAGGTCACTTGTTCTATCTAGGCTGGAATATTGCTGCACACTAACCACCTTTCAAGGCAGGTGAAATTGCTGACCTAGAAAATGTACAGAGAACCTTCACGGCGCGCATAACTGAGATAAAACACCTCAATTACTGGGAGCGTTTGAGGTTCCTAAACCTGTATTCCCTGGAATGCAGGCGGGAGAGATACATGATTATATACACCTGGAGAATCCTAGAGGGACTAGTACCGAACTTGCACACGAAAATCACTCACTACGAAAGCAAAAGACTTGGCAGACAATGCAACATCCCCCAATGAAAAGCAGGGGTGTCACTAGCACGTTAAGAGACCATACAATAAGTGTCAGGGGCCCGAGACTGTTCAACTGCCTCCCAGCATACATAAGGGGTTTAAACCAACAGACCCCTGGCAGTCTTCAAGCTGGCACTGGACAAGCACCTAAAGTCGGTACCTGACCAGCCGGGCTGTGGCTCGTACGTTGGATTGTGTGCAGCCAGCAGTAACAGCCTGGTTGATCAGGCTCTGATCCACCAGGAGGCCTGGTCACAGACCGGGCCGCAGGGGCGTTGACCCCTGGAACTCTCTCCAGGTAAACTCCAGGTAATACATAATTAAAAACTACAGTATTTGTTGTATGTAAAACTGTAATTAATCTCTTTAAAATGTATTTTTTGTGTGAATATTTTTGGGTTTCTGGAATGGATTAATTGTATTTACATTATTTCTTATGGGAAATATTGCTTCGAATTTCAGACTTTTCGAATTTAGAACTAGCTCCTGGAATGGATTAAGTTTGATTTTTGAGGTTCCACTGTATTTACTGTTTTTGAACCTGTAAAAATATATAATAAATAAATTTAACAATTAATGCTTCCCTTTACACATAACCTTATTTAGTAAACCTGCAAGATTTTGCAGGTTCCAGATGTCAGATTGGAGAAAATGGTGCGCATGTTGCAGGAAGTACAGAAGGGACGAACTATAGAAGAAGCTGCAACAAATATAAACAAAGACTACTGTGTAGACCCCAACCAAGACCTTAATAAGTTGGACGATGAGCAACTTGCAAAGAAGAAAAAGGTCTGATATTTTTTGTGTGATTTTTATTTAGATTTAGTCATGTACAGCATGAGAAAATGGAGAGACATTGGTTGACCAGGATGTCAATAAACTAGGGGTGGATGGAAAGTGTACCTTCCAAGGAAGGATTGGAAGGTATTTATGAAAGAGGTACTGAGAGGTTGGAGTTTCAGCATCTTGCAAACATATCTACACATTAAATCAGAGTGAGTAGTGTGTGGAATTTGACATGCTGTTGAATGCGAGCATGATAATATGTTAAAAGGGACTAAGATAAACCTGGTAGCTGGTTGTAAGTTTTGGAAGTTGGTATGTATAGTGCTTTCACTCTGAAACTAGAGATTTGGATGTTGTTTAGTGGTGCTAACACTGATTAGTGATGAATGTCACCATCTGTGCCCTTCTGGAGAGGCAACTTGAAGAGCGAGTAATGGTGAATGTGTTTTCATTGGTGGTAAATGGCCAATAACAAAAAAATGAGCAGTTAATTTTTGCATAATTTGGTATTGTATTGTATATTCCTTAAATTTCTTCAATTCCTTTTCTTTATTATACTAGATAATAAGATGTATACAGAAGAATCTCTCGAAAATCTTATGCTAAATTAAGCTTTGCATAAGTTTTTATTTTAATGTTCAGTAACTATAAAATGTAAAACTCGTTCTGTAAATGCTCTGAATAATGACAGATAAATTCTTAGTACTGCGTTCGTTTGACTAATTTAATCTCTTTACGTGATATAAGTTACATTAAACAATTAAGAAAGTGGCATTTTGCATCAGTAATACTGATGATATGTAATTCTTAACATCACTGATGACATGATGTATTTACTACAGTAATAAATGTTGCAGGTGATGAGTAGCAGCTTTGAGAAGAATCAGCTTAAACCTGGAGACCCTGGATATGAGTATGACAAGCAAGTAGAGTTTGACACCAGTGAGAAGGTAGAAGCTGGTTGGGACTCACCAGATGATGACTTTTGGTCTTAACATGGAGTCAGAGCCAGTCACTTCAGCCCATTCTTGCACCTTCTGTGTTAACTGTACAGATTTTTCTTTTGAATTTGCTTTATTGTTTATGAAACTTATCCTAAAAAAATAAAGAAAGTAGCTTTTTGTAAGATTACAGGAAATGTGACTTGGAACCTCTTAAGAAAATTAATGTACAGTAGCGATATAAGTTGGTTATTTATTTTCTTTTACATTTTTTACAGTGTAATAACAAATTTAATAGCAAATTTATTTTAGTTTCATGTGAGAGTCAGAGTATCTGTTTCATCACATATAGTTGAGAAGGCATTAATATTAATAACGGAACAGTTACACAAATACTTATGTTTATTAAATTATTAATTGATGTACTGTAAAATGTCTATATTTTTAAAGAATTTAATTTTTTAAGGCATTTGTTGTGTTTATAAACATTTTGTAAACAGTTTGTTTCCTTTTCATACATAGCTGCCTTAAATATGCAATGTAATGCATAACTGTTTAAAATATGTACAATAATTCAACTACTTCAGTATACAAATAAAAAAAAAATTCTTAAAATACAAAGCATTACAGTTTTGAGAATTACATATTTTTCTTTCTTTCAACGCATCAGCTGTATCCCACCGAGGCGGGGTGGCCCAAAAGGAAAAACAAAAGTTTCTCCTTTTAAAGTTAGTAACATATACAGGAGAAGGGGGTTACTAGCCCCTTGCTCCCAGCATTTCAGTCGCCTCTTACGACACGCATGGCTTACGGAGGAAGAATTCTGTTCCACTTCCCCATGGAGAAGAATTACATTAACACCCCTCTGAAGGAGGGGTGTTAATGTTGCAGTTTAAAAACTGTAGTGTAAAGCACCCTTCTGGCAAGACAGTGATGGAGTGAATGATGGTGAAAGTTTTTCTTTTTTGGGCCACCCTGCCTTGGTGGGAATCGGCCAGTGTGATAATAAATAATAAAAATATTTATATAATACAATGATTTTTTTGGAAAGCCCTCTGCTCTGCAAAGCATTTACGACAGACTAAAACAAGCGCTTACATCTACATAATACTATTACAGATATGGAGTTAATGACTAATAAGTGAAATTATTTGTTTTAAGAGAAGCAGTGAACCTTCAGTTTAACGGACATTGATTTAATGAATTTCTGAGATATGGGATAAAATTCCATATTTCAAAATTGTCTGTCATTGTTAAGATCAGAGCAAAACAGTTTTATCTCTAATCACCATAATCACCATTACCACCCATCTGCTATCCCCTATTACTCCATTAAATCAAGGGTTTACTGTAATTTAGCATACATATGATATACATGTACTTGCAAACAGTTTCGAAAGATATTGCACTCCCCCTTGAGGGAGGTGCCCTAATGCTGTTGAGGGGGCTCTGCATCCAAGAAAATGGACTTGTTCTCCCTTTCCCTTGACTGAACCCAATTGTGCTTAACCCTGATGGGTTTAACACTTCCCCATAATAATAATCTATCCTCACAGCCCAGCCTGAGTCAGACTGTTTTATTTTTTGTTGACTTCCTGTCCAACTAGTTTGTTTCTGTTTGTGGTCTACTGGCCCACACATCCATGACAGCCTGGTTGATCTGGCACTTGGCACAGATAGTGATCCAATACACAAATAACCCGCACATAAAAGAGAGAAGCTAACGACGACGTTTCTGTCCGACTTGGACCATTGACAAAGTCACACTAACAGAGGAGGAGCAGGATGGCTATATATAGGCAGGAAGAGGTGGTGGTAGTAGTAGTAGTAGTAGTAGTAGTAGTAGTAGTAGTAGTACAAGAATTGTATATAATACCGACAGGATGAAACTAAGACACACCCACAACACCCGGGCATCCCCATCGTAGACGCTTCGCCATCCAGCCAGCCACTGGATGGCGAAACGTCCACAACAAAGACAACCAGACGCCGCACATGTGTCTTAATTTCAACAGTAGTTGTAGTAGAAGAAGAAGAGGTAGTAGTAGTGGTAGCGGAAGAAGTGGGAAATAAGGAAGACGAGCCAGTCAAATACAAAGGAAGGGAAGCACTGCACTCCTCCTCTGTTAGTGTGACTTTGTCAATGGTCCAAGTCGGACCGAAATGTCGTCGTTAGCTTCTCTCTTTTATGTGCGGGTTATTTGTGTATTGTTCCAGTCACGGTATTGTGCCTTTTTGTTATTTATAGTGATCCAATTTTTTCTTGAAAACTTTTTCACTTGTTCCAGTAATATTGTACAGTGTACAGTATATCTAATATCCACTGGTACCAAAGATAATAGTTTTAGATCATGGATGTTAGCAAAGTGCTGTCTTATTGTGCCCATTGTACCCCTGATGTCACTGGATCCATTTTATGCTTACTCCCATTATATTGTTTTGGGACTATTTTTTTTTTTAATGCAACATTCGTATCCCACTGAGGCAAGGTGACCCGAAAAGAAAGACAAAAGCTTTTCTTCATAAAGTTAAGTAATTTTTACATGAGAAAGGGTTACTAGCCCCTTGCTTCTGGCATTTCAGTTGCCTCTTACGACACACCTGGCTTACAGAGGAAGAATTCTTTTCCACTTCCCCATGGAGAAAAGAGGAGATGATGAATGGGAACTATTAAGAAAATAGAAGAAAACCCAGATGGGTGTACTCACCTAGTTGAGGTTGCAGGGGTCGAGTCCAAGCTCCTGGCCCTGCCTCTTTACTGGTGCGTGTGTGTATATATATGTGTGTACATGCATATGTAGTGTGACCTAAGTGTAAGTAGAAGTAGCAAAATATACTTTTTATCCCATGTGTTTATGAGACAGAAGAAGACACCAGCAATCCTACCATCATGTAAAACAATTACAGGTTTCTGTTCACACTAACATGGCAGAATGGTAGTACCTCCCTGGGCGGTTACTGTCTACCTACCTACTACCTAGGTGATTTGGGACTAGACCCCCTTAAATATCTTCCATATATATATTATCAGGTAATACATACTCCTCTTTGCTCCAGAGACTACATTCTCAATACTTTGAGGCATTCCCAGTAGGTTAAAATGTTATATTGGTTCTATGCAGACAGTAAACAGTCTCAGTAACTTTCCCAACTCTGATGTGTTTCCTGCCTTGAATGGCACTGTTAATGTTGAGTAATATTCTAAATGAGAGAGCACAATATATCTGAACAATGTCACCACTGGTATTTATCTTATTTTGAAGGGTGTCATTATGCAACCTGTCATTTTTCTGGCCTTCAAGGCATTTTCCATTATTGTACCCAAGTCTTTTTCATGTATATTTTGTTCTGTGAGATAGACCACCTGTGTTTTTTATCTGATGCTCATTTTGAGACCTTCATTCTTTCCATATCTGAGCAGTTGGAACTTGTCACCACTTGAACATCGTGTTATTTTCTGTTGTCCAGTGGAAGACTGTTGGTATCTGCTTGCAAATTGTGTATTTCTTCTACTAAGGCAACTTTCATGATATGAATAACTATGAAGCTATTACTAGTGTTTCTATTTATGTTTGCCATGAGGATGAGGAGTAAATGTGTGATAACCATGAATTGTGGTACTAAACTTCTTACTTTGCTAAGGCTAGATTTTGCTTTGCTTACTATTACAGTACTATTTGTTCTATATATATATATATATATATATATATTTTTTTTTCAATATCTCACTTGTCTCCCACCGAGGCAGACGAAAGTGAATCTCCATTTTCTTACTTTTTCTATTATACCTACTGACTGTTTTTTATGGACTATTACCCCATGATAATTGCACTTTTTAAATACCTTAGTGAAGCTCATGAAGACAACATTTATGTTTTAGTTTTCTTTCTAAATGTCTGTAAATTGGCATAATGGTTTAATTGTTGTGACAAACATGATCTTCTGCTCTCCACTCTTGTTGACTTGGGTTGTACTGTAGGTAATGCTTTTTCCATAAAAAAAATTATTTGACATTTCAATACCCTTTCAAAAACTTATGTGATCTTAGTACTGTTGGCCTGTAAACTTGCCAGAGCTCTACTTTTATAATATTTTACTCAGAAACTCTAGTTTGTAGAGTCACTCTCATCTTATGACTACAGGCATAGATCCTGATGTTAACTTTACTAAATGAATTACACAAATCAAACAGCAACTGTAATTACTATACAGCAGATCAAGCAAAGACATTACTCAGAGCAAACAATAACATAACCAACTTTAACTAAAATGTCAGATCCTTGAGCAAACATTATGACGACCTCACAGCATTACTCAATTCCCTTCATTCCAATATATCAATCATCACACTCAGAAACCTGCCTTAAGCCTGATATTACAGATGTCTATGCCATTCCTGGCTACATGGCCATACACAACTGTAGAACAGACCAGCAAGGGGGAGGAACAGCTGTGTAATACTCAAATCAACTCGAATGTATCAAAAAATCTTGCACAAGGGATGAACATGGTGAATATATCATAGCCAAATTAAATCAAAAGACCTGCAAAAACCCCTCCATTATAAACATCTA